AGTAGGAGTGGGTGAGGTCTGAGCTGGGGGAGCCCTGGGCCCCTACACTGTGGCCTTGGAGCCCACATCCAGCCCCCACCTTGGCCTGGACTGAACCAGGACCATTTTCACAAAGTCCAGATCTGGCTGACCCGTTATTTGGAATCGATCTGTCAGCCTCCACATCCTGTGGGCAGGACCATGGTGGGCACGGGCCGGGCTCTACCTGGGTACCCTCCCTGCCCACTGGATGTGGAGGACGGCAGCCCAGGCCCGCCAGAAGAACAGGGAGGACCCAGGCCAGCCTGGCCCCATCGGTGCTTGAAAGCCACCACGTCCAGACTTCCTGTAGGAACCACTGCTCCTGTACAGCCTGCTCCGGATATAAGGCCCAGGCTGGCCTCTCAGGCCTCAGGGGGGCCCTGCAGGAATAGCCACAGGGGCTGCCCAGCCTTGTCTTCAGAACCCAAACAGAGGATGTTACTAGGTTGGCAGGGGTGGGAAGGGGAGCAAGGCCAGAAGGAGCCTCAGCCCTGAAGCAGAAGCACTGTCTGGTTTCGGTCTGACCTGGCTCTTCTTCAGCCCCCGCTACCCCCACCCCACCCCGGACCCTGGCACTTCCTCAGGACCCCACGCTCCCTGGCTCTGAACTGCCTTCCGGCCATTTCCACACTGGACCCCAGAGGGAGTCCCGATGCACACGCCTTACAGGGACCTGCCCTACTCTGAAACCCTCTCTGGCTCCCCACTGCCCCACAACAAGATCCAGATGCTTTCCAGCACTACCCAGCCTCCTCCCCTCCCATTCTCCCCATGCTCCAGCCGGGGCTGACGTGCCGAGGGGCCACCACCACCAGAGCCAGGCGGAATCACAGCTTCCCTTCTCCCTCCCCTTCCCCTGAGCGCTATTTGGCTGATTCCCTCAGATGGGTAACGTGCCCCCTTCTTCCTCAGCTGGGTGTAGTCTACCTGTTCACAACTCTAATTTTTTATACTTTTTCATTTTAAAACATTATGTTTTTCACTGGTAGAATTTAAAACCTAGGTCTTTGCGACATCTCCCTGTTTGTTTTTAAATGCTCCTGTCCTACGCATTCTGCTCTTCCCCGGAGCGCTCCGACGATGAGGTGCACAGGAGTGAGAGGCCCTGGGGAGCGCTGTCGCTCTCTGGCAGGCGGTTCTCCCGTTTTCGGGGCCAGGTGACTCCCTCCCACAAAGGTGGGCTTCCTTGCTTGCTCTATCCACTTGGAATGAGTTTGTCTTCTGAGGGAATTGTCCTCTGGGTCCGAGGCAACGTCCAGACCATTAGGCTTTCCCAGGCGCGGTTTTGGATTCGCCTCTGCCAGGTGCCTGGAAACGTCGGGTCTACCGCGGACCCGCACCGAGCAGGGCCGGGCCGGGCTCCCCGCACAGAGCCAGAGCCAGGCTGAGAAGTTCTGTCACAGATGGAAACCCTGCCCACTGGCCTGGGGGGGCACAGAGTGAAACCAGGGCACTCGCCCTGGGCTCTGAGTAGAAACCAAGTCATGCAGGTCACACTAGACCCCCAAACCGCACCGCCCAGTCCTCAGAACAAAGAAACCCCTGAACCTCTCACCTGGGTCAGGCTGGTGATACCTGATGAATCGGGTGACGGCTATATGGAGGTTCATTGTACTGTTCTATTTACATGTTATGTATATTTAAAATTTTCATCATGAAAAACGTTTACATTAAAAATACTGTAATGAGCCCTGGCTGGTGTAGCTCAGTGGATTGAGCGCGGGCCTGTGGACCAAAGGATCGAGGTTTGAGTCCCAGTCAGGGCACATGCCTGGGGTGCGGGCCAGTTCCCAGCAGGGGATACACAAGAGGCAACCATACATTGATATTTCTCTTCCTCTCTCCTTCCCTTCCCCTCTAAAGATAAATAAATAAAATCTTTTTAAAATAGCTATTAAAAAATCAAAATAAAAACACTGTAACGAGCTTCTAAGACATACACTGGTCCCTGCACACCTGCGTCACTTGTCTTCGGTGCCAGCTCCCACCCCTGTTTCTGAGCTCAATTCTTTGCTCCTGGCCCCTGGAAACTTCCCTGCCAGCTCCAGCCTTCAGGCTCAGCTATGTAATTCAAATGTTTCTTGGCATATTTTATCCAGTGTACGGGGAAAAGGAGGGCTCCTGACATCCACTCCGTCTGACGAACTGACTGCAAATGCTTTCCCCTGAATAAATTCTAACGCGTCCTCCAAAGCCCCACTCCGGCAGCCCCTCCCTGAGGAAATCTCCACCGCCTGCCACGAGGCAGAGCGCGGTGTGCACTCTCGAGGTCTCCCCCGGGGCTCCCACAGCACCCCCCTGCCAGGGTGGAGGCTGGATCCGTTTCCTGTTCCCGTCAACACAGGGGATCTACCTGAGTGCAGGGACTGACTGGGTGTGTGGCAGAGCCCAGCACAGGGCGTGCCCTGCAGGAGCATCAGAAGCAGCTGCCCCTTTAAGTGTGGGTTGTGGGGGCTCCTGATTTCCCAAAGCACGGAGCGCCAACTGCTATAATTCTGCTGTGGGCTTTCACGAAGGCTGAGCTATGGCTGCCTCAGAATACGCAGGGGTCAGCTGGGAGCTAGCAGCAGTCTGCAAGGGGCTACAGCTACAGAAAGTAAGCTCTTCCCAAGCCAGCGTTCATGCTCTGGTCCCAGGGGAAACAGCTGGGGCAGGCCCAGGCCTAACCCTCAGCCACCTCCCACCCTGCCTCCCGGCCCAGCAGCCCCTGGTGCCCAGAAGTAAGCAGACAACTGAGCTCTCAGCCCTGGCCCTTTGATCTGGGCAAGCACCAACACCTGGCTGGCGCCCTCCACCTGACTCCGACCTTATCAGGGCTTGGGAAGGAAGCAGGTGCCTGGGGCCCGGGCCAACTAGGTAATTTGCCTGGGTGCCCAATAGGTCACGTCCTGGTCTAGCTCACCTGGCTTCTTGGCTCAGATGGCCAAAGGGGTGAGGACATTCTGGGAAGCCATTCCAGCTGTGCTGGAAGTAGGTGGGAGGGTGAGTGTCAGGAGGTAAGACTGGGGGACCTCTCAGGGTGCTGGGACTCTCATCATGGCCCAGAGGCCCCCACCCTGAAAATGCAGATGCCAGACCTCAAACACCTGGGACACGACTCACCAATTCAGTGGCCACACAGGCTCCCTCTCCAAGCCAAGAGGACAGCACATGAGGAGTTCCAATTGCAGGCCTCCTACTCTCTCACCATGAGACTAAGCAAGTCATTTCCCCCCTTAACCTCCGTCCCTTCATCTAGAAAGTGAAGCTCGGAGGAGGAATAATCAGACGAGATGATGCCTACGGAGTACTTGTCCACCTCTGGCCATCTTGCCAGGGATCATAGCGACTGCCATGCCTTCTCTCTCTTAGCCAGCAAGGCAGCCTGAGACATAGCCGCGGCAGCAGTACAACCTCCCACCCGCTCCCTGGGTGGCTGGCTGCACAGGCCCTGACCTCACTCAGTGGCGGCTGAATGGCAGAGACCAGGGCACAGCCTTGCTGTCTATCAGTCAGCAAAGCCAAGACCAAGAAGGGATGAGGTTCGGCAGGTCCCCAGTGACTCACGGGCCGCAGCGGGTGGGGTCTGCGGGTGGTCAGGCTCTCTCCTGCCCTTTCCTCACCAGCTCAGCGGCCTGCCCCTCCCACGCTCCCATCTAGCTTGAACTCTCTTCCCCTCTATAAGCACAGAGCCCAGGAGGCTGGAGGGACCTGTCCCAGGCCCCAGGGCGGGCCAACTTGCTCTGGCCCAGCCAGGGACACCCAGAAAGGCGGCAGGGGCCAGGGGAGGGTTTGGGATCACATTCTGTGTGGAGGTGACATCTGCAGGCACCTGGCCACCCTTAGGAGGGGCTGGACCACACTACCTTGCCCCGGTCCTAGTTCTGTCAACCGTCACATGCCAGCGATTATCACGCGCCTCTCTCTGAGCCCCAAGGCCCTGTCTGGGGTGTGAGCGTAGGGGGCCTGGCTCTGTGAGCTCATTCTGGAGGCCTGGCATTGTTCACACTGGAATGCCACCTAGACAGGTCAGGCAGGTTCCTAGAGAGGGCCGGTTCCCGCCACCCTTCCCTCCTGGGGAGCCCAGGCAGGGGAAGGGTCCCCAGACCGGAATATAGACCGAGGACTTCCTCCTTTACCCCTGACTGGGCCTCACACTCAGCTGAACTCCTGCACCCAGGGGAACCAGGGTCAAGGGGACTGGGCCCAGCCACACAGCAAGGCTGGCAGGCACTGCTGGCTCTGCCCTGGTCTACGGGGCCTGCTGAAGAGCCGGCCACAGTGAGTGAGTAGGGGGGGAAGCCAGGGACTCAGGCCCACCAGGGCCAGGGAGTGGGCAGGGCAGGGACAAAGGAGACAAGGACCCTAGTGGAAAGGGCAGACAGGCTGGGATCATTGCTTAATGGCCTGCCAAATGCCCTGGCCCAGGGGGCTTGGACCCTGGCACCCCAAGCATCAGAATGCCGGGGTGCCCGAGGGAGAAGGGCCGAGAACCCCAGGCCCAGGACTTGGCTCCCACCCTGAGTCTGGGAACGGCTCTGGGCCGCCCAGGGGGTTTCCTGATTTGACATCTAAGCGATGACTCCCAGGTTGATGGCAGAGGAAGGAACTGGGGGTGGGGGAGGAAATGGACACGGGGTTGCTAAGGTTGCGTTGACAGTGCCCAACTTATTGACCTGAGGAGTCCCCTTTGCCAGCCTCTGGATGAAACCTGGACGCCTGGGTCCCCATGAAGCCCCAGGAGTCACCTCCAGAGACCTGGGCTCTCGGCCTATACACTGATATATCTCCCACAGCCTGGCAGGGCAAGTGTGATTTGTTTTCTTTTGTAAGAAGAAAAGCAGAGGCTGGAGAAGGGCTGCCTTTGTGAGTGGCGACAGTGCGGTTTGCACACAAAGTCCACCTTCTCACCGACCAGTCAGGGCTAGTACAAGAGCCAGCAGAGAATGACCCACCAGGAAGGAGGGGACCAAGACGGGGCCAGGGGTCACGGGCCTCACCTGACTGCAGCAGTCCGGCACTTCGGTCCTTGACCCCGAAGTGCTGCTGGATATCCAGAAGGACGCCTGGAGGGGAAGACGACAGACGGTGCTTACCAGAGGTGCCTGATGCCTGGTGCCCCATCCCCCACCCCACGTAGGTGACCCCTACTCCCAACCCAGATCTCTTTCCACATTGCAGGACCCAGCCTGACTCCATCTGCACAACTCCACCCTACCCAGGTTTGAGAGGCCACTGGGGACCTCAGAAGCCAAGCTCCGTCCTGTCTCACTGTGCCTCCTGTGCTCCCTCAGCCCCTGCAGGGGCCTGAGGCACAACCCAGGCTCTCCTGAGGTCACTCAGCCCAGTGAGGCAGCCAGGCTTCCTATCTGCCCACCTGCGGCACAAACCTAGACTGAGTGAGGAACACGCGCGGAGCCTGCAGCCCGGAGAGCGGGTGGGCAGCCGCCGAGAGCTGCGACGGGGGCTCTCTGGCTGGGACGGGGCTCAGGGTTCTGACCTGCTCGGCAGCACCTGCACACAGCATGTGTGCACACATGCACATACACTCAGCCAGTTGTCCTCAGGATTCTAACCAGGACCCCCAATTTTCCGATGCCGAAGGAAGCAGGTGGGGCTCCAGGCTGGCTTTAACTAGGGGAAGGAGGTAGCCTTTTCCCAAGATCCAGCCACCTCTCTCTCCCTTTAGGGCATTGTGGGATAGGGGCCGGAAAGGCAACCAGAAACCACCCCTAACTGTGAACAGACTGAGCCATGGCTGCAGGGGGGCATGGACCACACTTGCCAGGGATCATAGCGACTGCCATGCCTTCTCTCTCCGGGTCTGGCCAGCAAGCTCCTGGATCCTGCTCCCCTCTCGCAGCACTCAACCAGGGCCCTGAGTGAGTACAGCCCCAGCCTCGGGGGCCCACAGCACCTCCGCTCCAACCTCGGCTTATCTCTAAGAACACCAGGAAGCTGGGCCATAGTACAGACTCCCCTGACCACCACGCACCTGCACTGAGCAAGGAGGGAAGAAAGGAGGAGACAGGGCCTCGTGGGCTCCCTGTGCTGGGGACAGAGGAAGGGACCGGACCCTGCCTTTGGGGGATTCCCAGGTTGTTCATGATGAAGAAGATGACGATGAAGAAGAACATGATGTCAGCATTTGAAATGATGGTTTAAATTATTGAGCAGTAAGTGCTTTGCTAGTTTAATCCTCACACAACCCTACTATTATTTCACTGGACAGATGAAGAAACTGAGGCACAGAAAGTTAAGCCACGTGCTCAAAGTTCTACCGCGTGAAAGTGGAATCCCCAAGCACAGTATGAGGGTCCCATCTGGTGGCTGGGGCTGTAAGCGGTGCGAGTGGAGGTTACTGTTCCTCCTGGGACCCAAGGCTGGGATGCTGGGCAGTTTCCTGGGGTGCGGGTCCACCCAGCCACTGTCCTAGCAGCCTAAAGCTGAGAAAAGCTGCTTGTTAATGTCTTCCTCCTTGTTAATGTCCGCAGTGGATTTACCATAATTACCTGTAATGAAGAGGCCATGTGAGACCCAGTTAATGACTTAATAACCAGGGCGGGCTGTGTAATCTCGCCTCCGAAGCAGAAGCCAAAGGCCAGGCTTGGGCCTGTGGAACAAAGAGCCACCAAGTGGGACCTCCGAGGTGCCCCGACTTGGCCTCAGAGGCTCAGAGTTCCATCAGGGCTGCGGGTGGCACTGTTGGGCCTTATTTTGGGGAACCGCCCACACTCAGCTCCCACCCCCATAATCTACTTCCACTCCGGAGCCAGGACCTGTTCCCTCCTGATGTGTGGGTCTGATCACATCCCTTGCATAGTCACTGTTGACCGTGACTCCCCAGGGCTGCAGGGGGACACAGCCCCTTCACCAGATCACCAGCTGCAGGTTCATCCCCGTCAGCCCTGCTCACCCTGCCCTCTGGCCTCGCACCTCAGGACCTCATCCCTCCACCCCGTACTCCAATCACCTAAAACTACTCATGCCCCCGCCCCTCACCATTTACTCATGCTTCCTCTTCTACCCTGGCACAACTATGTTGGCTTTGCTAATTCCTGCCACTCCTTCAAGCCAACTTCAGGTGCCTCCTCTTCTAGGAAGTCTTTCCTGATTTCTCTCCCACCAACTTCAATAAGTTAGTCGCCCCTGTTCATCCTTGTTTCATCATTTTTCATACCAGGATTCGTTAGCCCTACAGGGAAGACACATAGGGACCTGGACCCCTTGTAGCCAGGAGCTAAGAGCCAGCAGTTTTGGGTTCCTGCTAAGTTCCAGGTACTGTGTGAGGCCCTTCAGGTGGTACTTCTACGTATGCCCATGTCTGTGATTATCATTGCCTTGCTGCCTATTCCACTAACTACAACGATTATCCCCATTTTCCATCTGAGGAAACTGAGGCTCTGAGAAGGGGAATGGTGTCAGGGGTGAGATCTGAAACCAGGTGTACTCCCAGAACCGAAGCTTGTCCTTCTGCCACACTGCTTCTGTGGGGTTGGCTCTCGTCCCCCAGCCCGGGGCCCAGCACACAGCCCACCCACAGTGACTATGTGCAGAGTGGACGCACAGACAAATTCGTGAGTGTCTGCCTCCTCCCTGACCCGACCTGGAGCCCCTTGCAGGCTGGAGCCGTGGCAAGTCTGGGTCTTCAGAGCCCAGAACAGGGACTGTGTAGGTCCTGGGTAAGGACGGGTGGGGCTGGGAAGTGGTGGGAGGACAAAACTCCCCCTGCACCCCCGAGCCCCTGAACAGTGGGTGCTCACCCCAGCCAAACGGAGGGCATGAATCCAGAGTCACTGCAGGCCCACTGGTCACCATGAAGATGGCCTGTGTGCGCAACTGATAAAAACACTCTTGCTTCCTCCCAAGGCACATTCTAGCCACCTGCCTGGGCACGGTCCCCACCCCATGACTTCAAAGCCCAACAGTTGCCTCTGCCTCCAGGCAACCTCCCTGACCTCCTCTACCGCACCTCACCGAGCTCCTGGTAGGGGGCAGAAACCTTTCTCCACACCCAGATGGCACCCCAGGTCCCTGGCTGCTCCCAGGAAGCCTAGATCTCAAGACACAGGAAGTGTTGGATACCCCCGGCGCCCCTCAGAGCCCAGGCTTAGGTGCAAGGCCTCAGCTCCAGGCAGAAGGCCAGAGAGAACCTTCCCAGGAAACAGGGCCTATGCAGGCCCTGCCCGAGCCTCACTGGGTTGTTTTCCCTCTCACAGGCCTGGAAGGGGCCATGGCCACAAGTGGATGAGGTCCCACTGGCCACTGGCACGGGAAGCGTGTGTCACAGTAGCCCAGCCGGTCGTCTCAGACTTTCCTCTGGGCTCCAGCCTGGCTTGGGCACCCACACCCCCCGCCCTTCTTCACCACAGCCTTATTTTTAGCCTCTTTCCTGGAGGCTGAGGTTTGGTGGGTCACAGGATGGGCCTCATGCCCAGGAGGAGCCTCCTACAGCTCAGGCCAAGCCCACTCCACCAGCCCCACCAGCCAGGGGCAGGCAAGGTGGGGCTCCCAGCCCACCCACAGCCCCCAGCCGCCCTATGGCCACAGGTCCCACTCCGGGCATCTCCAGGCCGCCACCCCAACTTCACAGCCAGAAAGGGTTTTGCCTCTTATCTAAGACTAACTGTCCCCTCTGGGCTGGCAGTCTCTCTGCCTCCCAGGGGTCTGGTCCGGGGCCTGCCCCTGGCTTGAGCCTGTCCTCTCAGCCTCTCCCTCACTGCTGTCTCCTTCACATCATCAGCCTGCAAAAGTGCTCACACCTCTCTCACCCTGGTGGTAAAAGCACCTGACTTGTCTCTACCAACTGCTTCTGCCCTCTCCCTCTTCATAGCTAAAGTTCTTACAAGAGCCCTGGCTGGTGTGGCTCAGTGGAATGAGTGACCATTCGTGAACCAAAAGGTCACTGGTTTGATTCCCAGTCAGGGCACATGCCTGGGTTAGGGGCCAGGTCCTCGGGTGAGAGTGTGCAAGAGGCAGCCGATCAATGTATCTGTCGCACATTGATGTTTCTCTCCCTCTCTTTCTCTCTCCCTTCTCCCCTCTCTAAAAAGTAAATAAGTAAAATCTTAAAGTTCTTACAAGAGTTCTGACCTCTCCCCAACTAGATGTCCTCACCTCCAACACTCCCTGAAACCAACCACCTCCTGGTGGCTTAATCCAACAGACTCTCTTATCCCTGAGTGACCCAGCCACCTGGATTCCGAGTCCACTGCTCCACCGCCTGGTCCCCATTCCCTGAGTGGTGCCATAGTGCTACCCAGGCCAGACACCGTGGGGTCGGCCACGACATGCCCTCACCTCCCACAGGCCCATGAATGGGCCCAACGATCCTTTCCTTCACCACCCAGCCTGCTCTCTGGGCTCCCTGCTTCCAGCCGCTCCTGGCTCAGCCAACATCCCTCCTGCAGCCTGATCTCACAAGCCCTCACTGGTGTGCTGAGTCCTGGGCTGGGCTTCAGAGACCATAGACAGTGACTCAAGGATCTAATGCCAGTGGTCCAGGAGTTGTCACCTCTGGGTAGAACTCACAGTAACCCCTGTGTTCTCCAAAATGCACTGGCCCAGACTGCTGGCTCAGTAATACTGCTACTAATAACAATAATACTCTGGATATTAACACATATTCGTGCTTGCTATGAGCCAGACACTGTTCGAAGAGTGTTACCTGCCCTAGCTCAGTTGTGTAACAGCCCAACAGTGCTTAGTGTCTCCCCTTTGCCCCAGTGAAGGCCAGATTTCTTCCAGCAGTTGAGGCCCTGATGACCCACCTCTGTCTGCACAATGGCCCTGTCTAGAGTGAGACGCACGGATCTGTTAGCACGCAGTGCAGGTGACCGGAAACCACTGGCGGGGTTGATCCGAGTCTGCTACGGTTGCACATCACAGCCTGTGGACCTCCAGGTCTTGACTACAGCCATGACCTCTTTCTCTGTCATGCTGCCCACGTCCACTTGTTAAGATGCACTTATCCAGCCCTGGCTGGTGTGGCTCAGAGCGTTGAGCGCTGGCCTTAGAAACAAAGGGTCACTGGCTGGATTCCCAGTCAGGGCACCTGCCTGGGTTT